GATGGAGGAAGGACGGATATGAGAGCAAGGAAAGAGATATCTTGATTGAGGGAGTCATTATGGAGTTAGCAAGAAACCTGGCTCTAGAAAAATGCCCAAGAACCCATAGGGATGAACCCAGCTGAGACCCTAAGCAATAGAGGAGAGGGTATCTGGACTGACCTTACCCTGTAGTCAGACTGATGATTATCCTAAATATCACCATAGAACCTTCGTCCAACAACAGATGGGAACAGAAGCAATGACCCACATTGGAGCACTGAAATGAGCTCCCTAGATCCAGTTGAAGAGTGGAGGGAGTGAGAGTATCAGAAAGGAATTCAAGGTCATCCACTGAGACAGTTTGCTTGAGCTCATGGTAGCTCACCAACTCTAACTGGACTGGGAGTGAATGGGCATAGGAACAACCAAGCCCCTCTTAAGAGGGTTCACAGCTGGGGAAGACTGAGGGGCCACCGATAGTGACACTGGGATGTGTCTCTATTGCATATACCAGCTTCATAGGATCCTATTCTCTTTGGATGAAAACGTTGCTCAACCTAGACATAGTAGGGAGGGCCTTGGACTTTCCACAGGGCAGGGTTCATGGCACTCCCTTAGGGTTGGAGGAGTGGGGGAGAGGGTCTGTGGAGGGAGAGAAAGGGGACTGGGGGGAGGGGTGGAGTGGGAATTTGGATTGGTATTTTTTTAAGTAATAAAAAAGGAAAAAGAAATAAAGTGTGTGATTCATGAAGAAAAAAAAAAAAGGTTTGGCCAGCCAAATGTCTAGAGACGTATGTATGAGAACAATGCTTTATGTTTTCTACAGTAGGAGCATTTGTTTATTAATAATGGCTCTCTTTCTCTTCCACTTTTATAGACATGAAACCAAGAGAGAATTATAGCTTTAGACATGGATATATGGAACATGAGATAATTTGAAAAATCCCGACTCTCGTGCCAATCAGTTTGTGACCTGAGGCATAAGTTTGGTTATCCTTATCTTAATAAACATAATAATAAATGTTATTATTGGCCCTAAAATTTAGTGATGTTTACAACTGCTGAGTTATGAAAAGAATTATTGCTTCAGTGTTCAGGAAAGCAGGTAACACCTCCAACATTTTTATCTATATTTATCCAGGGAAGTACAGAAACAGAAAATGTGATATTATACTGATAAATAAGTAAAGTTTATGCCCCTGAATATATAGTTAGATCATGTCTGTGCTGAAAACAAATTTGGGGCCAAAGGCCTGCCAAGTTTGATATATCCCAGATGTTGAAACAGAAGAAATCAGAGATTTATAACAGTTTTCTGAAGCAAGTTGGATGAGCACTAACAATATTGTTTTCTAATTATGTTAGTTGTTGTCCTCCTCCTCTTCCTAAATAATGGAATGCCATACTTGATTGGTGAAATGTGTAGAAATATCTGTTTTCTCATTCTGCTGCTGGTTAAATAGTTGGTTCAATTCTTGGAGCTGATGCAAGAACAACCATTTCCGATTATAAGTTAGTTGTAGGCAGTCATATTTATTAGTATTACAAGATAGATTTTGAATCCTATCTTACTTCTCATGCACATTTCTCAACTGCTTCATAAAGTCTATAAAAATATGATCAGGATTGTAGTTTTTGAGACTCAATTAGTTAATTATCTGTTCCTCTGATAAAATATGACCAAGAAAACTTTAGAAAAAGAGTTAAGCTTAAGGTTCCAGAGGGTTAAGATTTATTTAGAGGAACATGGTAATAAGTGGTAGACATGGCAGCAGGTACAGGGAGTTGAGAACTCACATCTTTAACAACAAACACAAAACAGATAGAGCAAACTGGAAATGCACCTACACTTTTTATTTCTCAAAGGTGGTCCCAGTTACATGCTTTTTCCAGCAAGGATGCACCACCTAAACCTCCCCGCACCACCAACTGAAGCCCAGGGTTTCAAACACATGAACTTATGGGGGACTCTGTAAGATTTTCTTACTGAGATAGATGCCAGGGATCTCCAATAAAGTTTCCAGTCCTTGATTCTTACTAGAAGTTTCCTAGTCATTCACATAATTACACTAGTCATACAAGACGATACAAGCTCATGCTAACAGCCAAGGTTTAAAGTCTCACTGATTTACCCAAGGCAAGCCAATTACCCCATAACTTAGGGTTTTTATTACTTTGAATAATAACCATGTCATGGCAATTCTTATAACGAAAATTTTAATTTAGGGTACTTGCCTATAGTTTCAGAGTTTCAGTGCCTTATCTTCATGATGGGGGATACTGTGGGTATACAGGCAGACATAGTGCTGGAGCTGAGAACTCATAAGCAGGCAACAGTAAATCAATTGAAAGTCACACTGAGGGACACTTGAGCAAAAGAGACCTAAAAGCCCACTCCCACAGTGATATACTTCCTCCAACAAGGCCATACTTCCTAATAGTGCAACTCCCTTTGGAGGCCACTATCATTCAAACCATCACACCTTCCATAGACTTCAACTTCCCTCATAGTAAAATAAAGAATACAAATAGCTGCACCAAGTACTCATCTCCACAAGCTTTTTTATAGCCTTGTGTGTGTGTGTGTGTGTGCGTGTTTATGTTTTTGTCCCTAAAAGTTTGGAGTTTCTTTGCAGATTATAACATTTCTCCCTCCTTCCTCCCTCTAAAACCCCCAACTCAACTTTCTCTACTCTCCTTCAAAATTCATGGTCTCTTTTTTCATTAATTGTTATTACATGCATATATATGTACATATGTATATATTCCTAAATATACTGTTCAGTCTGTATGTTTCTTGTATATACGTCTTCAGGGTTGACTGTTTGGCATTAGACAATCTGTTGTTGTGCTCTTCCCTGAGGAGAACCACCTTCTCCCACTGTCAGCTTTCCTGTACTTCTTTGTGCATGGTTGAAGCCTCATGGGCTTTTCCCCATCTACTTTGCAATATCCATTAGCATCATCCTTGTTCTTCTCATGTTCAGAAAGTCTTGCTGGTGTGACTTTATGTGTGTGGCTTCTGACATTACTAGGAGATACAATCTCACCTTTAATAACTTGGATATTAAAATTTATTTTCTATGTTTGAGAAATAGCTAAAATATTTTTAAATGACTGCTTCATTCCTTTCAATAGATATGAAAGTACTGTTATTAAAGATGTGAAATTACATAATTCACATTTGACAAGCTTGCTACAAGTTAGTATCATTCATCTCATCCTCTTGTGGGTATAATTAGTTTTCTATTGCTGCTGCCACAAATTACAACAATCTTAGAATGTTCTGTAAATCAGACACATAAAATAGGTTTCATGGATCTAAAATCAGACGGCAGAGTTACATCTTTTTTCCAAAAGAGCTGAATGAGAATCTATTTTTCCTTCACTTTTTCCAGCTTGTACACATTGTCTATATTTCTTTGCTCACATTTCCTCCATCCATTGCTTCTTTCAACTTCTATTTCTTTAAAGACAGAGTCTCACTACATAGTTCCGGACAGCCTCAAACTCTCAAAAATCTGCCTGCCTCTCTTTCCCTATTGCTTGGATCAAAGTTGTGCACCACCATGCCTATTTTTGCTTCTTTATCTTTTAAAAACACTTACAGAAGCTAGACCTAAGGTCCTGGGCTTGTTCCTTGAGCTCATTACATGTGAAGCATGGTAGTGCAAGACTGTAATCTCAGCCCTTGGAAGCTGGAGGCAGGAAGATAAGAAGTTCAAAGTCATCCCTCCCTACAATGTAAGTTCAAGGCCAGCCTTGCCTATATGAGAGCCTATTTCAAAAATATATCAAACATATAGGTTACTTATGCTCTAGTGGATGCCCCCACACTTATAAACCTATTGGCACAACTAAGTGGACTCAGTGGCTTCAAGAATATCACATTAAAGTTGGAATTGGAAGAGCAAAATGGTACTACAGGTATGGGAGAAGTTGGAGGAGAGGAAGTGAGGGGTGGATTTGAGCTAAATACATTGTATAATGTAGGAAATTCTTAAACAAGAAAGAAAAGAATTTAAAAACTTATCAGCCAACAAATAAAACCTTTGTATTTGCCTTAGAGCTACATTCATCTCAAATAATTTCCTTTCAAATTTTTCACTTTAACCACATTTCCAAAGCCACCATTGCCACAGAGGCTAATGCAAGTGCAGGTTCATATACATAACATGTAAGATGCCCACATATTTGCAGATCATCTGGACTCAAGATCACTAGTCATAACTTTTTTCATTCTTCAGGACAGTGTTTCTCTATGTATCCCTGACTGTATTTGAACTCACTCTGTATACCAGGTGGGTGCCTCTGCCACCCAAGGGTTGGAAGTAAAGGCGTGCATCACCACACCCAACTACTAGTCAGAATCTTATTGTTTGCAACAGTATCGCATATTTGAGATAGAAATTCTCACATTACTTTCGAAGTCTTCAGTCTAATGAAAAATAATCTTACAGTTGACTCTTTAGTTAAGTTGAGGGCTGTAGTCAACACGGGCTTACTCTATTGTATACTATTTTGACCTTTTTTTAGGGTTAATGAAAATAACTTAAAAGATGTTAGGAAGGGTGTATGTTTTAGCTGCCAGAAGGATTAGCTAGATCCATTCTACTTATTCAAGTACAAAAGGTCATAGGCTAGGGGAGAAGTGGTTATAACATAAAACTCTAAGCTTTTATAGGGTCGTTATAATATGCAAATCCAGTAATTGAAGAAATGGGGTTATCAAACTTAGGATGTTAAGAGAATAGACTCAAATGAGCTATAATGTCAACAAAACCATAACTCCTGCATTTAGAAGAGTACCACTTGTCCTTTGAAACACTTATTTTTCTGAGAAATTGAACTGACTATTTCTGTTTTGATGTAATTGCAAGATGTTTCCGTGAATTCAAATAAACTACAAATCATGGTCCTATTCTTGCAGAGATTGCAGCATGGCCATTAACACCAAAACAAAAACAAACGAATCGGTAGAGGGAAAGTAAATAAAATTCCTGTGTGGTCAAATCAACATGAGTAATTGCTTCAGAGAAGAGATAGAAGATCTTGCAGTGGACTGTCTGGAAAAGGTACTATGGTGGAAGGACACAATCTGAATTTGGAGTCAGTCATGCAAGCTTCAAAAACATTGACAGCCTTAGATTCAGTAAATCAACAAATAAGAATCTAGCCAAAGCAATTTTAAAAGCAGGAAGCTGTATTATAGGGCACCTTAATACAATGACAAACAAACACTGACTGTTTTCCAAATAGGTTACATGAATTATGATAGTGGGTCATGAACGAATAGCATAAAGTTATTGGAATTATGTTTTAGAAGAATTCCTCCTTACTGAAAAATGCTTATGTTATATTGGAGTCAACAGCACAGACTCTGGGAGATTCCAATACAGAAGCTCTTATTGTAAACAGGTTTGGGTTTTTTGGGGTTAGGGAAATTAAACTGCTGCAAGAACATTTCTGGTTGGACCTTTGGAAACTGGTAGTCACTGATGGTGTGTTGTGATTGGCTGAGAGTATTTGTTCTACTGACAGGTTATCTTGGTCATTTTTGCTTGCTCATTGAGAGCTTGCATGCACTTACTGGTGCTTGTGTTATTATTGCCCTGCCTCAGCGCTGCATCATAAAGATTTGATATTTCAATTGCAAATCGTCCATATAAGTCAATAAATGTATTATATTTCTTGTAGAAAAACTGTAAAAACAGACACCTACATCAGAGAGTAGCAAGTCACAAGGAATGCGCCTTGTGCTCATCCTCCTCTCCAAGGAGTCAAGATTAGCAGTAGCTGGCTATTCCAGCTCCTTCACAGTTTCCCTAGAAATCTTTGTATCTAAGAAGGAAAATATCACAGGAGAGAGTCTTGTAACTTCATACTGCAAGGGATGACAGAATTGATTTCTCTGGGATAAAATGTGATAAAGTAGGGACTATCAAATGGATAAAAATACTGCTGACTCTAAAATGAGTGTCACACATGAGATTCTAAAGCCATGATGACTCTTCTTACTAGAGTGAATGTCTAGAACTTGTGGCTTCCCAAATCTAACAAGACAAACATGGCCATCCATTTTCTTTCTTTTTCAAATAACTTTATTTATTCTTTAGGAATGAAGAAGTCGCTCTCTGCTCCTCCCTGTTCTGGAGACAGCAGCTTCTTTTCGTGCAGTGCCAGCCTCGTTCTAGAGACAAGATGGTGAAGGTCGGAGTGAAAGGATTTGACCATATTGGACGCCTGGTTACCAGGGCTGCCTTGAATTCTGGCAAAGTGGACGTTGTTGCCATCAATAACCCTTTCATTGACCTCAACTACATGGTCTATATGTTCCAGTATGACTTCACCCACAGCAAGTTCAAAAGCACAGTTAAGGCTGAGAATGGGAAGCTTGTCATCAACGGGAAGGCCATCACCATCTTCCAGGAGCGAGATCCTGCCAACATTAAATTGGGTGATGTCGGCACCGAGTATGTTGTGCAGTCGACTGGTGTCTTCACCACCATGGAGAAGGCTGGGGCCCACTTGGAGGCTAGGGCCAAAAGGGTCATCATCTCCGCCCCTTCTGCGGATGCCCCCATGCTTATGATGGGTGTGAAACATGACAAGTATGACAATTCCCTCAAGATTGTCAGCAATGCTTCCTGCACCACCAACTGCTTAGCCCCCTTGGCCAAGGTCATCCATGACAACTTTGGCTTCGTGGAAGGACTCAAGACTGTGGATGGCCCCTCTGGGAAGCTGTGGCAAGACGGCCATGGTGCTGCCCAGAGCATCATCCCTGAATCCACTGGAGCTGCCAAGGCTGTGGGCAAAGTCATTCCAGAGCTGAACGGGAAGCTCACGGGCATGGCCTTCCATGTTCCTACCCCCAGTGTGTCTGTCGTGGATATGACATGCTGCCTGGAGAAAGCTGCCAAGTATGACGATATCAAGAAGGTGGTGAAGCAGGCATCCGAGGGCCCACTAAAGGGCATCCTGGGCTACAATGAGGACCAGGCTGTTTCCTGTGACTTTTAACAGTGACTCCCACTTTTCCAACTTCGCTGCTAGGGCTGGCATTGTTCTCAATGACAACTTTGTAAAGCTCATTTCCTGGTATGACAATGAATTCGGCTACAGCAACAGAGTGGTAGACCTCATGGCCTACATGGCCTCCAGGAGTAAGAAGCCGGCCCTGGGCCACCCATCCCAGCAAGGGCACAGCAAGAGAGAGGCCCTCTGTCTGCTGAGCAGTCCCTGTCCTACCTCAACTTTGACACTAAGCATCTTCCTCACAGTTTCCATCCCAGACCCCCGGATAGCAGGAGGGGCTTAGGGATCCCTACTCTCTTGAATACCATCAATAAAGTTCATTGCACCCCTCTACGAAAAAAAAAATGAAGAAGTATTGGAGAGGCAGGAAAGATGGAAGATCAAAGTGGGTTTTGTTGTTATTTGTTTTGCTTTGTTTCTACTTATTTTTAAAAAAGAAAACAAACTATTTTTTCCTTATACATACCAATCCAAGTTCCCACTCCTTCCCCTCCTCCCATTCCATCTACATACCCTCCTACCTCCCCCTATCCAATCCTCATAGAGGGTAAGGTGCATTTCTTTGTAGAAGGTCTGAGGCCCTCACCGCTATATCTGGGCTGAGTTAAGGAAGGAATCTATCCAAAGAGACTAGGTTCTCAAAAAGCCAGTATATGCAGTAAGGATAAATCCTGGTGCCACTGCCTGTGGCTCTTTAGTCTGCCTCAACCATGCAACTGTCAACCACATTCAGAGGGATTCGTTTGGTCCTATGTTTGTTTCTTCCCAGTCCGGCTGGTGTTGGTGAGCTCCCATTAGCTTAGGTAGATTGTTTCAGTGAGGATACCCATCATGGTCTTGACCTCTTTGCTCATATTCTCCCTCCTCCCACTCTTCAACTGGACTTTGAGAGCTCAGTCTAGTGCTCCGATGTGGGTCTCTGCCTCTGTTTCCATCCGTTACTAGATGAAGGTTCTCTAGTAATATTTAAGATATTCATCAGTCTGACTACAGGGCAAGTCAAGATCGGGCTTCCCTCTCCTCTACTGCTTAGGCTTTTAGCTGGGGTCATCCTTGTGAATTCCTGGGACTTTCTCTAGAGCCAGGTTTCTGATAACCCTATAATGGCTCCCTCAATCAAGATATCTCTTTCCTTACTCTCATCTCTGTCCTTACTCCTTCTGAACTATTCCATTCCTTCATGTTCTCCTCCCCTCTCCCCTTTTCCCCTCCTCTTCCCCTTCTACTTCCCCTCTGCCCACACCCCTATGCTACCAATATTGTCAGGTGATCTTGTCTGTTTTCACTTTCTAGGTAGATCTATATGAATTTTTCTTGGGGTTCACCTTATTACTTAGCTTCTCTAGGATCATGTACTATAGGCTCAATATCCTTTGTTTTATAGCTAGTATCTACTTATGTGTGAGTATATACTGTACTCCTTTTTTGGGTCTGGGGTACCTCACTCAGGATAGTGTTTTCTAATTCCATCCATTTGCATGCAAAACTCAAGATGTCATTGTTTTTTACCACTGAGTATTACTCTAATCTGTAAATGTGCCGCATTTTCTTTGTCTGTTCTTTTGGTTGAGGGGCATTTAGGTTGTTTCCAGGTTCTGGCTATTACAAATAATGCTGCTATGAACATAGTTGAACAAATGCCTTTATAGTATGATTGAGCTTCTTTTGGGTATATGTCCAAGAGTGGTATTGCTGCATCCAATTTTCTGAGAAACCACCATACTGATTTCCAAAATGGTTGTTTTGAATTTTTAAGAACTTTTCTTGGGGTGGTGCTGCAAGGGTGAAGGCAGATTTGGAGAGAATGGGAAATGAGAAGAATTGAGGCACATAATTGATGTGAAATTCCCAAAGAATTAATAAATAAATTATGTTAATAAAAGAATTTCATGCAAGATATTTTGATCTTTCCCTCACTTTATCTCTCCTATATCCTCCCTGAACTCCCTACCTATCCCTCTTCAGGACCTTTCTCTTTGAAAAGAAAAACAAACACACAAAAAGGCCATCTACTCCAGAGCAAGAGTCTTGCCCAGGAGTATGATTGATCAACTCCTTTAAAGAAAACTCATCTTTTGTCTCCCAGCAGGTATCAATTGTAAATAGCTTCTGGGCTAGGGGTGGGTCTTTGTGCCCACTTGCTCTACTCCACACTGGAAATTTGTCTGGCTTCAGTTTATGAAGGCCTGGTGCATGTCATAGTCTCTGAGTTTGTCTGGGCATCAGCACTGCTGTGTCTGGAAAATGCTCTTTGCTTGATAATATCCACTGCCACTATTCGTACAATTGTTTTCCACCTTTACTTCTGAGCTACAGAAGAGAAGTTGTGTGAGATAGACAGTTCATTAAAAGTAGAGTATACTGAACCTCTTCTCTGCACATTGACAGGCTATAGATGGGGTTTCTGTGTTAATTAGCATTTATCGTAAGATTTTTTGGTAAGAACAATATGTCATTATGAGTCTTTTTTTTTTTTTTGCTGTGTTTAATAGATTTTCCTTTAGTGCTACTGACCTACCTAACTTCCAGTTTTTAGCCTTATTGATAATATCAGGAAGAGGTTCTCTCTCACGAAGTGGGTTTTAAATCCAACCAAAGGGTGGTTGTGAGGCACTCATTTGCAGTAAGTCAATTAATGGAGCCAAATTAATAGTGAAAACAAGACAAGGGAGATTTATTCAACATAGGCACATTGGGAAGAAGGACAAGCTAGTTCATCTTCCTGGTACTGCCTCGAGGGTAAGGTTTAAATAGAAAACAGGACATATGCATAACTAAGCAATCTGACTAAAATGTGATCCCAACCCCCAAGCCATCCTACTTGTGCATCATTGTCTCAGATCCATTCTCTTGCTCTCTCTCTCTCTCTCTCTCTCTCTCTCTCTCTCTCTCTCT